GAATAGGTTAAAATTCCACAGTACCTAAAAGGGGTATTAAAGGAGATAAGGAAAGTTTTTTAATTTTTATAATCTCAAAATGTTGGTGAGCTAACAATATTTAGAGACAGTGAGAAAAGTTGATAATAGACCAGCATTGATTTTATTTATTGTTCAAGATAATGAATGGAAAATTTCAAATAAAATGATGAGTATGATTTATTCCACAGCCCATTCGGAGCCTTTCATTACAAAAAATGTAAAAAGTTTTAGGTCGATAAAAGCGATAATTTTAAAGAGATTTATAATTGGGCTAATTTTATATTCCACAAAATAGAGCAATTTAGATTTTGCGAGTAGGAGCTATCATATTTTTGGGACATCAAAAATGCTAAAAACAGACTAAAATTTTAGTTTGATTTTGAACAAAATTTTCTGTAAAATATAATGCAAGGGAGTAGCAGAACGAATAAACGTTGTTTTAGGTATAGGAATTCCAAATGGAACAGATATATACCTTTGTGGATCACGTAAATATATGATCGATCGAGATGTTCACTGTGTTCAACAATCTTTATACCTGAATATCAGTAATAGATTCCAAAGATTCGTTGGGGGATCTTAAAACTTAATTTTCTTATATTGACCTAATCAACATTTTATTAGCCCTTTTGAGACTTGGCTATACTCGTTTTTGGTTATACCACTGAATTTTATTGCAAGATAACCTTAGCTATACTTTTCGTCCATTTTTTTAATGCAAGCTTAAATTTGGAATTTTAAAGGATAAACCAATTATTAATCAATATAATTATCAAATATAAATATTGTCCAAAAATGTGTTCCATTTTTATGCTTTTGACCTTGAAAGGGTTAATGGTTAAATCCCGATAAAGAACATTTTATTAAAGGATATCATTGATTTATTTTTTTTCGGTACAGGGACTTTAATGAGATATTTATATACAGGTAAAGCAAAAAAATGGTTTGGTATTCGAAATTGCGAAAAGTAATAGGACTGAAATAATGTCTATATAAAAGGTCTATAATGCTTGCTAATGAGAGGTTTTTTTTATAAACTCGCTACCAATATGTTATAACAGTACTAAAGGTTTCACAAAAAAATATTACCGCTCATAAATAACTTCTATTTTGATAAAGATTTTCCTTGATATGAGCAGCGATATGTTATTATTAATATCAATGACTCAAAAACACCAAAGGGATGTTTATGTGAAAGGGAGTAGAAGGGTTCAACAATCTTTTATATTACATCAATATACTCCCTCCCTCTATTAGATTTATTTTTTTCTCTATTATGCAGCAATTGGTAAAATACTCATTCCAAACGATTTTGATACTGTAAAATAAGGCTTAAAGAGTGTAAAATAAACAAACCCATTTAAACTTTTCAAAAAATAATATCCAGTAAAGGGGAGACATCCCCTTATTCCCTCTTCTCAACATCATTTACCCATTGACCATTAAACCATTTTGGGAACAAATGTTAACATAACAAGATTTAGTCGGTAATATTAGCAAAATTTATAACAATAAATATGGTGGATATCCTTAAAAAAACAAAAAAGCGATCACTAAAGAGAAACATACCAGAAAACTCTAACCTCAGCTTACTCTCGTTGTTTAGTAATATCGCAAAACCAACTAGAAAGAAAAAAACTAAACGGGAAAAATCTCACAGAAACAAACTATCTGAGCCGATTGGAAAATCACACAAGGTTTCAAAGAAGAAGAAACACATCCAGGTTAAAGAAAAAAGTCCAGAAATACGTATTAGCTCAGGATATGAAGAAATATATCCATCGAGTTCTTGTTCGTTTAGTTACCCATTCAGCAACAACAGCTCTAAAACTCTTGCGGCTCGTAGCACTAAAAAGAAGAAACGATCACCAAAGCCAACTAGCCTAACAAAAAAACCTGTCAAAGAAAAAAAACCGAAATACCACAAAGAATGCAAGGTTAAGTACCTGAAAAAATCCAGAAAGGCGTCTAAAAAAAAAATCAAGAAAAAAGTTGCGAGTCAGCAGAGTTCGCCGGTTATTAAAAAAAAATCAAATTCCGATCTTGCTGGAAAAATAAGCAAATCTCTAAGAACAGCTAAAGTAGGCAACTGGTTACAAAATTACTCGCACATAAATTATTCATTGCCATCAGTCAGCCATGCTCTTGATTCAGATGTGGAGCCAATTATATCTAGATTTAGCTCGGAAGATTTCAATCCCCCTTCCATTTCGGGAAATGATGGATCTAGAGGTAGAAGCTTTTTTGTACAATTAAAAAAAATAGTATACTTCTCGGTCCGAACAATCAAGCAATATACAAACTTATTTATTTAAATCGATTATTTAAACACTACCTTTATAACTTTTAATCTAGAATCCAAAAGAATATCCTATCTTCTTAAAGATCTAAAATCTTATTCCGCGAAAAATTTGAATCCACAGCCTACATACTCTGATCATTACAAAAATTACCAATGTAAGTCCCATGTTTCCTTAGTCAATATTTATAAGAGATCACGTCTGGTTAACGTTTATTTTCAACTGTTGGCTATAATCTCTCACTAAGTATTGGTTTTTTTTTTTTTTTCAAAAAAATAAATAAATACATTTTTACATTATACCACGCAAATCTAATATCTTTTTTTCTCTTTCCCAGCCTCAAACTACTCTCAACCCTCTGCATATAAAGATAGAAACGACTATATCAAAAATTTACTTGCGGCATATTCAATCTCTCACAAAAAGAATAAACCAGGTATCAAAAACAAAAGATCAAATTCATTGCCTAAAGCTCTAGGAAGCATTTGCAGTAATATCGACCCTATCAATTTAGGCTATAGCTTTGATCAGAATTCTGAATATGAGCATCAAAATTTTCAATTTCCTTCCCAGCCAAATATACAAAAGCCTAAAAAGGCCTATCGTTACGAGCCCCCAAACATCTCAAATGGTTACCATTTCTCCCGCTATGGAAAATCGGATTATTACCCTTACCACGAACGGGATTTTTTAAATAGATACGTTAGTATTGATATAGACCGTCTGGAAAGGATGAGATACAACGATTACCTGAAAAGCATGCATTTTAAAAATCGCCAGTTTGAAAATGACCGAAACATGTACCATAATGGCTATAACTACCCCTACGACTACAGGAGAGTTCACCCTTTCAGCGATCATATGTAACAAATCCATTCTTTCTTCTTTTATCTTATACCCATAACTTGAAATTTTTTGCTTTAATTTTTTTTTTTTTAAAAAAAATAACTTAGGAGCATTCAAATGCCAGACTACTATAGCTTTTCTACAGCGGAAAACTACAATAATGATATTTTTAAATCTTCTGCATCTAATAATACATTTATGGACTATTTATCTAAAAAAGAAAAGCACCCGAAACAAAAAATGTACGCCCCGTTTTATAAAGGGGCCACAAATGATGGAAAAAGAGTCATTCCAATCATGAACCCAAAGTATAAAAGAAAAAATAACCACCAAGAACATACAATCTTCAGACCCAGCACTGATAAGCCCATAGTTGAATCTTCAAAATTTAGAAACTCTGGTTCAAATAAAAACGTATCCAGAAGTGCTTGGCCAAACAGTCACCATGCTAACCAATACCTGGGATCTTTAGCTGATCAGAACTACCCTCAAAATAACAACTACAATATCAGGAACTCTGATATTCCGTTAAGTTTCTTAGCATCAAACAAAACCCCTATATCAATCGGAAACTATCCATCTGGATCTCTTTTAAACAGCCAAGATTTTGAAAATTATAGTTTTGGCATTGGGTATCGAGAAAACACAAATAAATCAAGCTTTTTAGAAAATAATTTTGTTCAAACCAGACCTCCAGAACTTGCCACAAAGTACAATCCAGGTTCTTTTAATCATATTAGATCTTCACTTGCCGATACCAGTTTTAACCGAGACATTCCAGACAACTATATCAACAGTTTTCACGATATAGAAAGCTACAACGCTGCTTCAAAAAAAGTTCTTCCCAATTCAAATCGTCTAAAAGAAAAAGTACGCAGTCCAGTAATAAGAAAAAGGAACAGAGCCAGAAATAAAGCTTTGGGTACTCCTAAACCACCCATTTTTAAAATGAGGCAAATAAAAAATTTGGACCGGAATTCGCCAAAATCTTCTAAATCCCCAAACCCTTCACCCAAATCTCTGAATACGAAAAAACAGTCAAAAAATCACCCAAAATCAATAAAACCTCTTAGCATCAAGATCGAAAACGAGGAATCCTTCACGAACCTTGTTAAGAGTTTAACACTCTTAAACACACCAAGGCATAAGCCAAAAGAGAAAAAGGGTGTCGATAACTACTCCTCTCCGGCAATGAACCTGGATATAGACAAAAATTTAACCCACATCCCTCAAAAATCCTCAAAAAAAACTAGAAATTTGTTTTGTTGCTTCAAATACCGGATAATTAATTTTATTTTGTGGCTTTGCATTATCATATTAACTTCAATATTTATCCTCTACGTTAAAGGGCTATTACAAAAGACAAATTAAATCAGTTACATTTATACATCTTTTACTCCTTTTTTAATAAATAAATCATTTGTTTCAACGTCAAAAAAGAACACAATCTCCCAAACTTTATATAATCGTCAATTATATTATCTTCATATTGTAATAAAATATACTTGTTCATTTTTTTAGCACAATACCTCAAAAATTCCTAACTCTGGTGCTAATTGAAAGGATCTAATTTGCAAGTATGTAAAATAAATGCCAAAATGTATTTTACTAGATATGTAAGGCCATAAAAATTTTTTTTGATGCCGTAGAATACTGTTTATAAGTTGAAATGCATTTACTATTTTTTTTTCAGCAACTAAGGATTATTTATTTCTATTTAAAAACAGCGGAGATGAGGGAAGACATAGATTTGAAAAGATTTTTTTTATCAGGGGATTTTATTGATAGAGTAAAATTTAATGGATAAAATAAAAATAACGAAAGAAAAACGTTCTAATAATTCTCGTATCCTACAGAATCCAGCTTTTCAATTTTGCCCTCGACTTCCAATCTAATTTTATCAAGGTAGCCCAACATTCTATCTGAATATAAATCAAAGGTTCCTCCCAGGATTCTAACTGCTAATAAACCTGCGTTATCGGCATTATTTATAGCAACGGTTGCAACTGGGATTCCTCTAGGCATTTGAACAATAGAATAAAGTGAGTCAACTCCGTCCAAACAACGACCCTTAACAGGAACTCCAATTACTGGCAAGGAAGTAAGTGCAGCAACCATCCCAGGTAAATGTGCAGCTCCTCCAGCTCCTGCAATTATGACTTTAAGTCCCCGTTTTTTAGCTGTTTTTGCGTATTCAACCATCCTTTCTGGGGTTCGATGAGCAGATACGATTGTGAGTTCAAAAGGAACCCCGAAGGATTTAAGCTGATCAGCAGCACTTTTCATTACAGGCAAATCGGAGTCTGATCCCATTATAATTCCTACAAGAGGAATGGGTTTATATGGGTGATAAACTGTCTCATCGCTTCCACATAGGATCTTGCTGATTTTTTCAGAGTTATTAGCTAAATGGTTCTCCCCTGAAACTATGTGCATAATGGCTTGTATTCTCCTATTCATTTCAACTGGAGAGTTTGCAACTACAGTGACGTGACCCATTTTACGAGCAACTTTGGCTTCTTTCTTTCCATACATGTGAACAGTTGATCCAGGAACCAGAAGAGTGTCATTCACGATGGATTTTATTAACCCCATGCCATCAGTTGAACCACAAACAGATGTTGGCAAACCTAAAATATTAATCATGGCAGCATAATTAACCTTAAGCTTAGTGGAACCCAGAGGCAAACCCAAAATGGATCGTAAATGGTTTTCATATTGTGAGGTGTCACATGCTTCTATGGTATAATGTCCAGAGTTGTGAGGTCTTGGTGCTATTTCATTAACAATGATTTCGCCATTTTCGAGCAAGAATAACTCGACACCAAAAACACCAGCACATTTTGAAACTACATCAATATCTTTTTTTTCTCCATTATTTAATTCTATTGATATCGTATTAGGAACTGAAGTGATTGCCTTTACTGCCAAACAAGCTAATTCTTCAGCCTTTTCGCAAGTAATCCCATTTACTGGAGCAGGTGCAAGAACTAAATTGCAAATATTATTGCTCTGAACAGTTTCAACAACAGGGTAACAAATAATCTGGTCGTCTATTCCCTTTACAACGATAACAGCTAGTTCTTTAGTAAACTTAACTAGTTTTTCTGCATATATACCGGAATCTTCGACCGAATTATCGGGGCTTGGAATGATGTTAGAGCTTAATTTATCCCATGCATCCCTAAGCTCGTTTTCAGAGTTTACAAATACATTCCCTCTACCATCGTATGCATTTCTTCTGGCTTTTAACAATAGGGGATATGAAAAGCGAGAACCTATTTCCACTGCGTTAGAATAGTCCTGACAATATTCAAATTCAGCAACTTTAACACCCTTCTCTTTTAAAACCTTGTGTTGAATGTATTTATCTTGAATGACTTGGATAGTTTTGGGAGATGGTAAGACCATCGTGTGGTCTTCGTGATTAGCATAATGCTCTTTTCCATCCCTTAAATTGCTTTTAGAAATTTCGTTTTGAATCATTTGTCTCTCGACGATTTCAGTCAAAGCCTTGGTGTCAACATGTTCAATCTCAGCTGTAATAACATTTACCCGTTTTGATAGTTCAAATATCGCCTCTCTATCTTTGAAATCTTTATCAATGTGTTTTTGATTGCTTAATTGTTTTGCTGGAGAGTCTGTTTGAGGATCAACAATAGTCAAATCGATGTTTAATCTGTGAGCTGATTCAAACAGCATCCTTCCGAGCTGACCTCCACCCAGAACTCCAACCTTTTTATTCAAAATATCCATTTTTTCTTAAAAAATTAGTCCTGCTTGTGGTGAGGCTTCGTTGTTAATTTGAAAAGATTGATGTCCATCGCAGCATTTTTTTGATTTTCTTTTTCTTTTTCTTTTTAATTTTTTGATCTGATCTAATTAGTACCAATCCTTTCCATATGCTAGGTTATTTTTGAGGGTGGACTTTTTTTAAAATAAAAACTATTGGCTGATCAATTTTAATGCTCGTTAGCCCTTTCCAGACCCAATATTGAGCCTTGTTCCTGTTTGTATATATCGGCAATCTCAATTGGCCTAAATTGATGATTAGTCCAATAGTACACAAATAATATTGGTCTAAGGAAAACATTGAGCAGAAAGTGAATACCATTTTTTGTGCCATCAGCCCTGAAAGGGTTAGTATTAAATATTGGTTTCATTCGTTTATGGAATATTTACTCTTGAGATTAAATTATTAAGATCAGAAATCCAAACAAAAATGAATTCAATAAATAATCAAAATCAAATATAGAATGAAAATATCCAATAAAGAAATGTGACTAATAGCAAAAAGATACACTTATGATAATTCAGGGACGCTATTTATTAAAATGATAGGATAAACATTAACAAATTACATGTATGAGTTTGTTGTAATGTTGCTTTTTCAACTAACCCTTTCAGGGAGGATGTCACGTAAATAGCTTTCATTTTCGTCTCAATAGACGAAGGTTAAATAGTAAATTTTGGCTAAATTGGTTAAGATTAGAATATTTTAAACGAAATCGGTTAAATTGGTTAGGATTAGAATACTTTAAACGAAATCTGCTGAATTGGTTAAATCCGTTTATTTTGAACGCTTTTCAAATAATATGGAAAATTAGCCAACCGAAGCATATACCAAAAAAGAAATTTCCTAATAACCTTTATTTCGTCAGGCAAAAAAAATATATTGAGGTGTTTGAATCGAATAAAATATGAACATGCGCTATTTTCTAAATAAATTAAAATCGACAGTTTTTTCAGTTATCTTAAAAGCTCTATAGTAATAAGTCAATATTTTTTTGCCATTTTTGGCCAATAAAATAGCTTTTTTTCGACATATATTTTTAAATATTGAAATTTTTGGATATAATCGAGAGTAATCTAATCCATCAGTCAGTTGAAAGTTTTAAGATACAATGATTAGATATCAAAATAAGTTGATTTTCCTAAGCTTTGGACAGAATATAAATATATTTGACTTTCATTTATCACAAGTAATTTATTACATAAGTTAGACTGAAAAAATATAATAAACCTTTTTTTATATATATCCCTTACTCAATTATGGAGTTTTTAGGCTATTGATTTGAAAGCCGTGTTAAATTAAATACCCGCTAAATTTATAAAAATATTAAATTTTTTGGAAAAAAAATAAGGCTTATTTGTAGTATTTTTAAGAAATAAAAATATGATGTCATCATGATAAATAATAAATATCTACAATTGTTTTTCTTTACCAGAAAGGAAAAAAAATGAAAATTTCATATATTCAATATAAAAAATATCGAATTCAGCTGGGATTTCATTGCTTGGATTGTATACTAAAACTCCAAAGATTACTAAGATTGATTTCAATTTTTCGATGGCATTTAATTTAAAGCTAAATTTTGAATCTCGTAGCGATTTTAGTTCGTTATTTCCAAACTCTAAATTGTTAATACGGATTCAATTCAGTTTAAAAACCGGATTTCAATATAGAGACATAATAACATTATTTTCTTCTCAAATCGAAAAAACATTCATATTTAGGTGTAAACACATTGCATTGAAACAAACTTCAATCATTTGGTGTATTGATTTATCTTCAATTAAACTCAAATTTTTCTATAAATCTGAATTTACACCAAAAACCCTCCATTTTATCGACTAATAAATTGTATTTAAATACATTCATTTCTTTAAAGTAAAATTATATACTTTTACAAACAGTCTATTTTGATTTATTCATAAAATTTCAATATTATTCCTGTGTTCAATTCAAAGACATTAAATAAACTGATTACTAATTATATAAAAAATATTAATTTTTTTAAATAAAATTAAGCGAATATTGGCTAAAGTTTGATATTAGTTGAAAATTGTTAAAATATACGAATTTAGCCCAATTTAAGTCATTTTTCTTAACATAACCAAATCTTAACCGAATTGGCCGAATTTTATTAGCCAATCACCATATATGGTTTACAGTGCTATTGCCATAAGTATAGCTTGCATAATTCGTGTATGCGAAGAGCGATATATACTCATAAGTAAAATTATGGCTGTTAACAGTGCTGCATGATGCGGAGTGCAAGTTATGGTCTATTTCTGCCTCAAAAAACTTTTTGAAGTTCTTAGCTAGCATATTATTTTGCTTTTATACATAAATTATATATTACATTACTATTTTCTTCTACCAGAAAGCTGTTGTTTTAAGGTTAAAACTCCGAATAAAAGCTTTAAAATAAGTCAGATAAGAAAAATATCATGTCCACAAATAAATTAATTATTAGAAAGATAATTTGATTTATAATTACATATTCTTTGGTATTTTTTTTCAGAAAAAAAAAGCCTTTTTTTTACCAGAAAGGATTTCTTAAAGTTACCCAGTAAAAAATTCGAAGAACAAGAAAAAATAACATTATCATTCACCCAAACATAATGATAAAGGCCTTCAATTAAAAAAAAGACACCATGACTATTTGCATACTAAAATTCCTTTTAGTTTTTCTTAATGTAATTATAAATAATCAAAACAGCAAAAAAATGAAATTTGCGTATTTTTTAAAATTGATCATGAAAAAAATAGGATCTTAATACTTTATATTTGTTTCATCAAAAAGTATATAAAAAATTTCAATATTTCAATTTTTAGTATCCCAGTAGTGCTGAAATAAAAAAAATACAAACAACTGAATACCTTTGAAACGCAAGTAATCCATTTTTAATGTTATAAATATTATTTTAAATGATCCCCCCCCCCCCCCCCCCCCC